ATTTCAATCTTCAATGAATATCATACTCTTCTTCTTTGAAGAAAAAAAAAAAAAGGCACAGCAATACAAAACTTGCCATTAATGTTTCAGACGGAACTTACACACCCCTCACAAAACTCACGCTTCGCAAAAACAAAGCTATTGGACCACAAAAGACGGCCCAAATTTTTAGCCCCTCGCCAGCCCAGGGGAGACTAATATTATCTGCAACTAAATTAGTATTCGCCACTTGCAAAAACACTGTAGCAATACAAAATGCCAACCGGCGCCTTTGACCATAATCCCGTTTTCCAGTAAAATCCAACATTTTTTTTAAATTTTTTTATTTTAGGTAAAAAAAATCCAAAACATATTAAAAGATGTTTTCATCATTCATCAGGCCATGTCTGTAGAGTCGTAGACTTGTGCCGACACCAGCGCTTACATCACTTCGTTAGTGGAAGAAAAAAAAAAAATTTAACGAAAAACTCCTGGTACTATTTATTTTAACGAAAAATCATATTTTTATATTAAAAAGTCAATTATGGTACTAATCACTTTATTCTTTATTTTATTCTTATTGTTAAAACTCAAAGTTTTCAAGTCATTTTCATTAATTTTCCTTTAAGAAAATAGATAATCTTTAAATATCTTATACAAGATTAAAAACTAATGTTAGTCCCTAAATTCTATTTAATGTCATTCAATGTCTTTTTCTTATATAATTTTGTTTAAGAAAAATATTGTAATTTTTAATACACATTTGAATTAAAATGAATTATTTTTTTTTATTGACATTTTGCATTTAGGCTAAATTGGATTAATGGTTCCCGTGGTGATAGAGTAATCAGAATATAGCCTACGTGGTGAAAAACTTCGGATTTAAACCCTCGTAATGAAGTCCTTTAGGATTCAAGCCCAAAATTAACATTTTCGTCAACTCTTTTTTTAAACCTATTCTGCCTTCTTAACCAAAAGCGAAAAAAATCCATTCAGTCAAGGATATGAATCCTTTGCTCCATGCTTCAATTTCATTCAAAACTCTTTTGTCCACCAAAGCGACTAGGTTTTTTTTTATGCAGAACTAGCCAATCCACGTAAAAATAAAATTGAAAATTTTGGTTATCATTTCTTATGTGGGAGCTTTAATTGGATTGCTTGTTTGTTATTTCATAGGAATCTGGATTATGTCGAGTAATAAAACATGGTATGCTCATAGGAATCTTGATAGTGCTACATAGCTACCAAATGTAGAAGTGTCGACTATAAAAATTACAAAGCCTACGTGACGCGCAAGCCGAGTAACTAATGAGCTAACTATGTCATTCGATTGATGCAGGGCGTGCCAACTCGTCGGCCCAGCTCGGCCAAGGAGTAAAATTTATTGATGTTGCGTTGAGCGCGTTGCTGACTTCTTTATCTTGCGATTGTGGTCGAGGAAGGAACAAATCTCAACCTTTGGATTCTCGAGCCTGAAGACAAGACTGCTAATTCTGCGAAGTTCACGAACCGTTGGCGCCGGATTCGGTCACAGTGATTATATTCATGAGAGTATAAGCACGCCGAATCGACACCAGACTATATGGACACAAGTACTCAAATGTGATGTATGTCTTGATGGTAAATGTGGTTCAGCCGTCAGAATGCCAAACTCTGAAACTCACTTGTGAGTATCCAATCATAAAATCACTCGGCATTCAATGTGCCGAATGTCGTAACTCATAACACCTTACTTCATCGAGAAGGCTAATAAGATGACCTTTGCCAATAAGGATTCGGAAACCCTTCTCGACTGAGACTTGGATAGGTAACCAGTCGACCTCGATGCAGTGTTGTTTATCTAAACTGAAAATGCTCCTCGGTTGGCTGATTCTACGGCAACAATGTACTGTTTATCCAAACTAAAGGTGTTCGCCGGTTGCCTTCACAATGTTGTTTATCCAAACTGAAGATGTGTTGGCGAAAAAGAAAATTAAAAAAAAATCTCAAAGTGTTTGAGAGGTTTGCGCAAGGCAATTATGTGTTGAATTAGAGGTGGCTTGAATGATGCACTCTGCTCTCTATTTATAGCAACAAATCCTCATCAAGATCAAGTCGAAACCATATTCGGATTAGGACTTCTTTTTCTGTTCCAACTCTGTCTCGAACAATCATACTCCTATTAGGACTTTGAACACACCCCTCTTTTGAGGCCGTATTCATTGCCGGTCAAGAATCCGTATTGCACTAGGCCTCCTCATCGTATTGGGACTTCTTCGACGCATCTGCTTATCCAAACTACTCCTTCTTGCAATAGGACTCGACCATCTTTACTGAACGGCCCGAGATATCCGGCAGCCCATAGTATATTTGGAAAAGCTTTAGGCCGAACATAAACCCACACTTGGCCCAATAATATTATTTTGGGCCTAAACAAAAAGGTACTGCTTAATAGTGCCAAGTCAACTAGCCCAATGACCCACTGGCCCTCAAACATCTAACAAATGACAGTATTTCATCATCCAAAACAGGACCAACCAAAACTCAGTAATCCTTTTTGTTGGAATCACCTGTCAAGTTGTTTCTGTTCAAGCTTGGAACCTGCATTTGTTTCAACTTTCAACTGCCCAATCTCAGGAAGGATTTTACCTGAAATCTTATTACCGCTCATTCTCATTTGATGATTTGTCCATCAACAATGGCATGAACAAGGAAGGGAACCTGAAGAGATAAAGAGATACAAATAAAGGGAGGGGGAGAGAAAGAGAGGAGGCAAGTCGAAAGTGTGTCGGGGGTGGGGGACATCTTAACGGAGAGTAGACGAAAATGTCAATTTTGGACTTGAATCCTAACGGTCTTTACCACAAGGGTTTAAATCCAATTTTTTTTACCGCCGGGCTATCTTCCGACTATCCTATCACTATGGAAACTATTAATCCAATTTCGCCTTGCATTTATATATAAGAAAATATTTTGGTTGACACTTTTCAATACACTTATGTTTTTTTTTTTTTTTTTGCATATTTTCTTGTCTGCCTTTAATTTATTACAATATATTTAGATACAGACTATTTCGATACACTAGCTTTGTCTAATATGTTTAGATACGAACATTTATGTACACTAATTTGGTATAATATATTTAGATACAGTTTCGGTACACCAATTCAGTATAATATGTTTAGGTACGAACTTTTCATTACACTTATGTTACAGACATTTAGGTACACTAATTCGGAGAAGTTAAACAAAATTAATGAATTAAAATATGTATAATAATAAATTAAAATTTAATGTGGAGACATCAAATAAGATATGCATTAAATAGAAAAACAAAAATATAATATAAATTTGAATTAAGTACACATTAAATAGACTCAAAATTAATATATAATCTAACACCGTATCGAAGTTTAATTTTCTTCAAAGATTAAAGTTTAAAAAAAAAAAACTTTAACAAAAAGCCTTCTGGTACTGTTCATTTTAAAGAAAAAAAACCACATTTTTACACTAAAAGTCAATCATGGTACTATTTATTTTATCCTTTATTTTGTCCGTTTCGTTAAAACTCAAAGTTTTCAAGTCATTTTCATTAGTTTTATTTTAAAAAATCGCATGTGTGTGAGAACTTAGCCCATTAGTCATTACCATCCCTTTGGAGGTGCTATACCTATTTATATTATCTCGTATATATATCCTCTCCCTTTATGTATCTAAATTTCTTATCTTCAATTAACAAAAATCTGGAATTAGATTACATATTCAATCTAATCCCTTAAAGTGTACTTTTATTAAAATTTATGTTCTATTTTTTTATATTTAACTGTATCTTTATTTAATGTCTCCACATTCAAATTTTATTTTATTTTTTTAATATGCACATATTAGTTCTTTCAATTAGAAATGAACATAACAAAAAAAAATTATAAATGAACATAAATGAGAAAATACTAAAACAAATTAGGGACACAGAAATATGTAAATACATAAGTGTACAAAAATATCTGTCCCGAAATATATAAAGTCGACTTCTTTGACTTTTTTGTATCGAAATGTTTGTACCTAAATGTTTTTGCCAAAATATATTATAATAAACCTAAATGTATGTACCAAAATGTATTATATTGAATTAATGTATCTAAATGCCAATACCGATATGTGTGTGCCAAAATGTAAGTACCAAAATATATTATATTAAAGTAATGTACCTAAATGAAGAACAAAGAAATTGTATTATATTATATAAAAAAAATTAGTTCACCTTAATGTAGACATCAAAACATATTGTGATGAAATAAATGAAATTGAAAATTAAATTAATTAATACGCTAAAATAGGAAGAAAAAGAGAAATAAAACATTAAAATATAACTAATGAATGAAATAATTTAATGTGTCATAGACGAAAATTAGATTTTAATTTTACTCATATTTTTTAAGGCTCAAAATGAAGTTTTCTAATAATATTTCTGGTTTTTCTCTGTTTTTGGGGGAAAGGGAGAGGGGTGAAAGAAGTTAATTAGTTAGTAAAGAATGGCAGGAAATTGTGATGAATATGATGGCGCCATTTTGGCGAAGAATCTTTACTTGTCCTGTGATTCCTGCATGCGAGGCGTTAAGCACAGCGACGCCTCCACCACTGCCCAAGATCGCATTGTTTTCTTTGCCACCGGCCAAGTAAGTGATCACATTACTCGCTGAACTATACATTGCTTTTCTTTTTCTTATTACGAAACTAATATTCCTTAACGTACTACCAGCCAGTCGTTGCATATGGAGTTTGTAAAGTTGTAGATTCTAAACATCCAGACTTCAAGGCGGGTGATTTAGTTGGGGCGTCACAAAATGGGAGGAGTACTCTCATCACTAACACGGAAAGTTTCTTCAAAATCCACCACACCGATGTGCCTCTTTCCTACTACAATGGAATTTTAGGTCCGTGTACATATAATTCACTCATTCATTCTTATAGAATTATCTGCTCATCTTTACACATGCATATTTAGTACTTGTAACTCTTTACAAATGACTGTCGTTATATAGGTATGGCTGGCATGACTGCTTATGCTGGTTTATACGAAGTTTGTAAACCTAAAAAAGGAGACAAAGTGTACATCTCATCCGCATTTGGCGCTGTTGGTCAGATCGTCGGCCAATTTGCCAAACTCATGGGTTATTATGTTGTTGGAAGTGCTGGAAATCAAGAAAAGGTACCGACCCCGCTTATTTATTTAATCACAAGTTATTACGTTGTTGGAACTGCTCGATGCAGTGCTCATGAACATGAGACTTCATGGTCGCATTGCCGTGTGCGGGATGATCTCGCAATACAACTTCGAGGAGCATGAAGGAGTCCAAAATTTAATGCATCTGATTTACAAGCGCATTCGTATGGAAGGGTTTTTTGTGTTTGACTTCTGCCATCTGTATCCCAAGTTCTTGGATCTTGTGGTGCCCTACATCCGAGAAAACAGGATCACTTAAGTGGAAGACATAACTCAAGGCCTTGAGAATGGTCCTGCATCACTCGTTGGCCTTTTCTCTGGCCGCAATGCTGGAAAAGGAGTTCTTCTAGTTGCTGGCGATTAATCCCTAATTAATAGGTTCCTAAATCTAATTTTTCCATGAGTTGGGTTATTCATCGTTAGTAAATTTGGTTCAATTTCAGTCAGCTGTTTATTGTATTTAGTTGCTTTTGATTAATGAGTGTGAATGTTTCCTGCTCAATGGGAAATAAGAACTGTCATTGTGTTTGTTTGTAATCATAAGTGTTTATATGGTTTGGAGAGGAGTTAACATTCTCTTTGGATTGAATGTGACAAGTGCCTCGACGTTTATCGTTTGATTAGGCAAATTGATGTACCATTCTCTCTTCCATGCATATTTGGTTTTCTCAAATTTATTGCAAAGGACATCATATGACGGATTGCTTGCAAACTATGGTGTAGATCATGTTGGGGTTCATTGGTGGGATTCTTGCCGCCGTGCATGTGCAGTTGCATTTTTTTTTTTCAATCATAATTGCAACTTCAAACATCTTTTACTTTCCATAGTGTTAAAAGCAAATCTCACATTGGGGAAAGAAAGGTTAGCTGACCACTAAGGGGCGGGAGGGATCAAGTAACCCTCCCAACTATGACAAACCTCAATGGAAGACTTAAGTTATGCCCCTTTAAAGCTTAGAGTTGTCCTTGATATATGCCCTGCTTGATGAAATGCCTCAATGAACATTAGGTATGGCAGGGCAGGGCATTTTGTGCTACTCCTTTGTTGCTGATACAAAGTCTCTTTTGCTGCTGATCAGCAGCTTTGCACGCAGCGAAACCAAGTCATTATATATACATATATATATATATATTTTTTGAACAAATATATGTATGCATATTTTTAATAATAAGACCTGACCACTTAAAAAGATAAAAATAAAAAATAAAACTTTAGCTTCTAGTCTAGACATATATAAAACCCAAATCTTTAAAATCAAAATTTTTACCAAATCCCAACCCCAATTCCAGACCGTATAAAATTTTAATTTTCTTGCATTGATAATGAAGCTATAATACAACATTTTCAAATACAAAATCGCGCCAGTAAAATTGTTGCTTCTTTAATTCAACTGATCTGACGGCCGAAAATTAGAAGAATGTGTGAGAAGTAAAAGGGGATGTGTGGATATCACACCTCTTGATTTTGTGGTGAAACCTCAACTTTTTTTTCACAAAATTTTTTTATATAAAAAAGGAAAAAAAGAAGAAAGAAGGAATTGATGAAAAAAAACAACACATAGATACCCTTGATGCGGAGAAAATTTTGGAAAATGGGGTCCGTAGCGTCCGTTCACGCTATTTGTATGGCATTTCTTATAAAAACATGAATCTCTTACAAAACAGCCTATTCAATTTGTCAAAGCTGCCCTTTAATAAGGCAGCTCTACTAATATCTTCCTCCTTAATATGCCTTATACTCAAATTTTTATGGACGATAAATTGTAAAATAGTACAGAAAAGTGATCAAAGTCCAAAAAGCTTGCACTACTCGGCAAGAACAAAAAATAAAGACGGTTCCATAAAGGTAACAATCATAGAATAAAAAAGACAAAAAGGATTTGGCAAATGACTTGATTTGACATTAATTTTTGACATTCTGACCAAAAGATAACTTGTTTTAGTTCGATTACGATGCAACAACCAACACATTGTGATTAAGTGAAATTGTCATGGTTTAATTTGGACATCACACCTGTAAAAGCTAGCCAGCTTGATTGTACTAATTTATTACGCAACCAAAATTCACCACATTCCAACACAACAAAACACCCCAGTTACCTCTTCCCTCTCGTAAGCAATTACGTGACTGAAAAGAAAAGTCATATTGTTTGAGAAACGTGACTAAAAGAAGCTGCAGAATGTGCTATAAATATAGCTTAAATACATTATCTGCTAATAACCAGCAGATCAGGAAACAAACTACAAATTTTGCTCATACCGCAGCTTAAGACTCGAAGAGGGAAAGACAAATTAGGCCCTAATAAGTTGCTATATAGCAATGGCACAAGTGATGAGCAACAAGCAGGTGCTTCTGAGGGACTTCGTTAATGGCCGGTCTCCGACGGAGTCAGACATGTATGTCACAACTAATAGCATAAGTTTGAAGGTTCCTCCACAAGATTCAAACACGGTTTTGGTGAAGAACCTCTACTTGTCCTGCGATCCCATGATGCGATTTCTTATCATGAAATCAGATCAGAGAATGAGTAAATACATTTATCCTTCTCCTGGCTCTGTAAGTCATGTTTTTACTATCACTTTTTAACAGTCTACACATTCTTAATTTTTTAAAACTTGATGGAAATTTTGATGCAAGTAAAATCAATGAAAATTCCCTTATTTTGAATACAGCCAATTCGTGGATATGGCGTGGCTAAAGTTTTGGATTCAAGTCATCCAGAATTTAAAGAAGGTGACTTGGTATGGGGGCTAACCAAATGGGAAGAGTACAGCCTCCTCCCAAACCCTGAAAACCTCATCAAAATCCACCACACTGACGTACCCCTTTCCTACTATACTGGAATTCTCGGTAGGTATAGTAATTTCTCATGCACGCGTGCATATAATGACTATTTTGGTGCACTATAAAACTTGCTGGATGCTCATGCAGGTATGGCCGGTAAGACTGCGTATGCGGGTTTCTTTGAAGTATGTCGACCTAAGAAAGGAGAGTACGTTTTTGTGTCCGCAGCATCTGGTGCAGTAGGTCAGCTTGTCGGACAATTTGCAAAATTGGCAGGTTGTTATGTCGTTGGAAGTGCTGGGAGTAAAGAAAAGGTTGATCTGCTGAAGAACAAGATAGGGTTCGATGAGGCTTTCAATTACAAGGAGGAGCATGATTTAGACGCAGCCTTGAAAAGGTACTTTCCTCAAGGAATCGACGTCTACTTTGAGCATGTTGGCGGGAAACTGCTCGACGCCGTGCTGCTCAACATGAGAGAACACGGTCGCATGGCCATGTGCGGAATGATTTCGCAGTACAATCTTCCCGAGCCTCAGGGGATTAAAAACGTGATGCAGATTATTTTGAAGCGGCTGCATATACACGGATTTACTCATCGCGATTACGATCACATTGTCCCCGAATACTATGAATTTGTGCTGCCATACATCCGACAAGGGAAATTGGAGTATGTGGAAGACATAGTTGAAGGCCTCGAGAATGGTCCGGCAGCCTTGGTTGGACTCTTCACTGGTCGCAACGTTGGAAAACAAGTGGTTGCACTTGCTGGCCACTGATTTACATTCACCTCGTCCCACTCTATCCATATATTTATGGTTACTGGTTAACTCGGTTTGTGGCCTTCATTTTAGTTGTTCCTTGTGCATTGTAAAAAAATAATAATAAGAGCTTTCCATCTTTTGGAAATAAATTTTGAGTTATAACTTAGGAACCTCCTAAGTGATAGAATTTGTATTTTCATACGTCACGTTTTGGGTTTGATTTCCAGCTCTAGTAAAATCATACGATAATGGTCAGGGAAGAGGTTAAAATACCTCTGTGAGTTTTCTCGGTCCTCTGAAAAGTAGACTGTCGTGACAAAGCTACTAGATAGTTCCCTTTTAAAAAAAACGATAACATTTCTAGGCCTAAATGTAATGTTGTAGTTTTGTTTAGGTTTTAGGCCCATTTCACAAAAACAATCTTTTACTTAATATTGAATAGTAACTTCGCGTAAGGTCAAATATTATTCACGCATGAAGTTAAAAGAATTTTTTTTTTCAAAAAAAAAAAGAAAGAAGCGAAGATTGTTATTTTAGGAGAATAAAAAAAAAAAGTAATCCATACGGAAGTACACATAATTATGATGATGCTTTTATGTAATGGGAAATATAAATTTAAATTTACAAAGTATAATTTGAATTTGAAAATTGTGGCTGTGATATGTCCAATATATGGAAAAAGAAAAAGGAAATTATAATTGTGAAACGTGTGATGTTGAACGAGCAACAAAGTTGGAATGGAAGAGTCTCGACTCTCCTCGCGGACTGGCGGCCTTAATTTGCTCTAATCTCACACGTGTCAAGAATATACACTCGCGGCTCCGAGCTAAGAGACGCCCGCATTACGCCATTGCCTACCTTAATATTCTTGGCTTTCCGCCGCTTCCAATTCCCATTCCCATCGATTTGCAACCACCACCAGCAGCATTGCTCATATCGCCCTCCGCCTACACACAGAGAGATAGATAGAGATAGAGAGAGAGAGAGGACCAATCTCAATGGCGGCGAGTACAGAGGGAGTGATCAGCAACAAACAGGTGATACTGAAAGACTATGTGACTGGCTTCCCCAAAGAATCTGACATGCAACTCACCACCGCCACCACCAAGCTCAAGCTTCCAGAAGGTTCCAAAGGGGTTCTGGTGAAGAACCTCTACTTGTCCTGCGACCCTTATATGAGAAGCCGCATGACCAAGCGTGAACCTGGCGCCAGTTATGTTGATTCCTTCAACGCCGGTTCGGTCAGTCACTGTATATATTATCTTACATCTCTCTCTAATCATTTTATTATTTTTAGTGTAATTTCTTCGTTTTAACTAGGGAGACTAAATTTTATTTAGTTTACAAATTTAATCTCCTTAACTATCTGCCTCCAGAGTCTCTGCCTGCCTTTTTAATAATTTGTTTCAAATCAAAGTTGAATACTTTTATATCTCTAGGTTAGGATAATTGGTAACGCGGTGTGCCCTTCCACTTTTATTCAATTTCAAAATTAGGTGCTCTGTAATTTAGGGTTGTTCAATTGAGATTAGAGGGATTTTAATGGATTTATAAATTCATGAATTTTGACGAAGTTTAATTGATTTATAAAGATTTTATGTAGAATTTTGAGTGAATTATCTCGAATGCTCAGGGAGATCTCAGGGAGATCTGTAAAATTTGAGCATTTTAAAAATATACGTAGAAATCTCTCTAATTCTCTCAAATTTTGCAACTTTTTAAAATCATTTAAAATCAATTTCTAATGAAATACACCTGGAATATTATAATATCCTTTATAATTTGATTGAATACACCTAGATTTCAGATAATCACTTAAAAACACCTTAATTAGAATACTGTATTGTAAAATATATAAATAAAATTGAATCCTTGAGGCAATTCTCATGTAATACTAGTAGTGTAGTACAAAAGGAGCTGATGAGGAACCCAATTAGTAATCTTGTTTTGTAGATAGCCTTTTCGTTCGGATGGTGTAATCCAAATTTATCTTGTTTGTGGTTTTGGGGCTGTTTTAATAATTTATATAGTTTGAGACAACTTGTATTTCGCGGTTTTTGATGATACAATGCTATATTTATATCAGTTATATCTTATCAATACTGAGACATAGCTTCCCTATTAATTGGCATTTTGTCCAACATAAAAGCTTTGTTTATGCTATGTACAAATCATAAAAAGGATAGCATCTATTCGATGTTGTAGTTTTATTTGACGTGTTTGATTATTGAAATGCTGGTGTGGCAGCCTATAGTCGGATATGGAGTCGCCAAAGTTTTGGAATCCGGGGATCCCAAGTTTAAGAAAGGCGACTTGATTTGGGGAATGACCGGGTGGGAGGAATACAGTGTCATCACTGCAACAGAGTCTTTGTTTAAGATTCAGCACACTGATGTGCCTCTCTCTTACTATACTGGAATTCTTGGTATGTTGCTATATATGGGCTATTGCTATTTTCCTTGCCTTTGGATTTTTTATTTTTTTTTTAATTTTGTTCTGCCACAAGCAGCTATCTCAAAGTCTTGTATCTTCTATGATCGTAATTGAATATAGCGAGCTAAGGAACCTGAACTTCACAAGGGCCTAACCGGTTGCATGAAATTCGTGAATCATTTTTGTATGTCATGGATTGTATTGAATTCTTGTTGCATGTTTGATTACTGTAGTTTCATTGGACTATTCCCATGCTAAATTCAGGAGCGAACAGATTGTGTCGTAATAATCTTTTTATTAAAAGTAGCATTCCTCATGGAAGGATTCTGTATGGTTGTATTTATCCCTAGTTGTGATCTGCCTCCACTCCAGTGACCTCTATTATACTACTTGAAGTGAACTGATTTGTTAATTCTCAAATCTCCTTGTAAACTAGATCTTTACAAACCGATGTCCCATTTTCTTTTCATAATTAGTAATTTGATTTGGAAGTACAGAAATTATTTAGCATAACGTAATTCTACTTCAATTGGTCATATGGATCTGTAGCATTGTTCTCAGATTGAATGCAATTGTTGAAGCGATCCATCCTAATTAATTCATCCAAATATTCAGTTATATGGCTTTGTAATGCATGATATATGTACTTGATGCTCAATGCTCATCAATGTATTCATTTTATGTAGGTATGCCTGGAATGACTGCTTATGTTGGGTTTTATGAGATCTGCAATCCTAAGAAGGGAGAGACAGTCTTCGTTTCAGCAGCATCTGGAGCAGTAGGTCAGCTTGTTGGCCAATTTGCAAAGTTGTTGGGTTGCTATGTTGTTGGAAGTGCTGGAAGCAAAGAAAAGGTGAGTTATGGTCGATTCCAACTATATCTTAGTTGGCATTTCTGTGATTGCAACTCCATTGGATGATTATCCTTGGTTTAGAAACACGAGTTAGTGATGTGTGCCAAATTTGTAACCGGAAACGTTTTGACTAATAGAAAACAGGAAAATAAGAGAGAACATGTTGGAAAGTAAAGATATTGGTGACCCTTTATCTTCATAATCAAGTCAGTAAAATTCAGCTTTAACCTGCTGCCTCATCTGGTTGGCAAAATGTTCATATCATATGAAATCGTAAGCATTGCAACTTAGAAAATCGCACAGAATGTGCGTGTATGAGCTTTTCTGTTCTCATTCTACAATTTACGTATTGCAAATGACTATTTTATACCCATTCTTGGCATATTTTAATAGTATTGTATCATTTCCGAGTTTAGGTTGATCTGCTGAAGAACAAGTTTGGGTTTGACGACGCTTTCAATTATAAAGAAGAACCTGATTTGGATGCAGCTTTAAAAAGGTCAGTTGATCAGAAACAAACTATTATTTTAAAGCTTTAACTTATGTCTTAATTACAAAGGGAAAGTCCAATAAAAGGCATTAGCAATCTCTAACATCATCATGATTTAGTGATTTAGCCGCCAATCCTAAAACAGAGAAAGAGTAAGTTGAAATGTGCAACAGTGTGAGCATGTGGCTGTTGACGAGAAACTCATGTCTTTGTCCTCCTTGTAGATATGTTCCATGGTTTTCGGTGTTTGCTTAGTCTAAATGTGTGATTTTCTCACCAGGTACTTTCCTGAAGGCATTGACATATACTTTGAAAACGTTGGGGGGAAAATGCTTGATGCAGTGCTACAGAACATGAGGGTCCATGGCCGGATTGCAGTTTGTGGGTTGATATCGCAGTACAACCTTGACGAGCCTGAAGGTTGTCGCAATTTAATGTATCTGATCATTAAACAGGTTCGCATGCAAGGTTTCCTGGTTTTTAGTTACTACCATCTTTACGAGAAGTTTCTTGAAATGTTTCTGCCGGCGATAAAAGAAGGGAAGATAACGTATGTGGAAGACGTGGTGGAAGGACTTGAGAGCGCTCCAGCCGCTCTGATAGGGCTCTATGCCGGCCGCAATGTAGGAAAGCAGGTGGTTGTAGTTTCCTGTGAATGATTTCATCAGGCTCTCCATGCCTCCGAAATATCACCCTTTAGCCATACGGTGTAATCGTCTCGTGTGAAATGCAAATACGTTGACATTTATCCCCACGAGAACTGTGCTTGATCTCTTACCTTAAGCTATAAATAAATGTGTTTTGACTTCCTTAATGATATCAAGTACTAAGTTTGGTAGATCTTTCAATTGTGTAAGAGCTTTTATTTTTTATTTTTTATTTTTTTTAAATAAATGATATTATCTACAGTAAATGGGAGGGGTAGCTTCACAATATGCTAGTAATAATGTGGTTCAAATTTACTTTTGACGAGAATCGAACTTAACACCTTTTATTTATAAGCGAAAGAAAATACTACTAGATCTTAATTCTAAGTGGCATGTTAAACGAACATTGACTTTTCTTTTTTCTTTTTTCTTTTTAGCAAACGGACTCTCCTTGTCAAAATATTGAACGAGCAAACAAGTAGGAAAGGATAACTTAATTTGTCCTAATCTCACACGTGTAAAGAATATAGACACACAGTAGCTTTCGGCTAAAGGACGCATTACGACGATTCTTGCATAGTACATTTTCATGTATGTTATGGCTTAAGTAGTTTTGTAGAGACGTCTAGGTCAAAAACCACCCGCAAAAAAACACTTGTTATTTAGTTTTAATTATTGAAATTTAATGAATTCTCTTTTCCGAATCTCATTGGGTTCTTTGATACAATGCTCTAATTTTCATGATTATTTTATGAATATACACTCACAGCGGCTCCGAGCTAAGAGACGCCCGCATCACGCCATTGCCTACCTTATATATATATATATGTATTTTTTTTTTTTGAACAAATATATGTATGTATATTTTTAATAATCTCACACGTGTCAAGAATATACACTCACAGCGGCTCCGAGCTAAGAGACGCCCGCATCACGCCATTGCCTACCTTATATATATATATATTTTTTTTTTTTGTTTTTTTTTTGAACAAATATATGTATGCATATTTTTAATAATCTCACACGTGTCAAGAATATACACTCACAGCGGCTCCGAGCTAAGAGACGCCCGCATCACGCCATTGCCTACCTTATATATATATATATATATAGCTCCGAGCTAAGAGACGCCCGCATCACGCCATTGCCTACCTTATATATATATATATATATATATATATATATATATATTTTTTTTTTTTTTTTGAACAAATATATATGTATGCATATTTTTAATAATCTCACACGTGTCAAGAATATACACTCACAGCGGCTCCGAGCTAAGAGACGCCCGCATCACGCCATTGCCTACCTTATATATATATATATATATATATATATATATATATATATATTTTTTTTTTTTTTTTTTTGAACAAATATATATGTATGCATATTTTTAATAATCTCACACGTGTCAAGAATATACACTCACAGCGGCTCCGAGCTAAGAGACGCCCGCATCACGCCATTGCCTACCTTGTATATTTGTTCAAAATATGCATACATATATTTGCAACCACCACCAGCAGCATTGCTCAAATCGCCCTCCGCCTACAAAGAGAGAGAGAGAGATAGAGATAGAGAGAGAGAGAGGACCAATCTCAATGGCGGCGAGTACAGAGGGAGTGATCAGCAACAAACAGGTGATACTGAAAGACTATGTGACTGGCTTCCCCAAAGAATCTGACATGCAACTCACCACCGCCACCACCAAGCTCAAGCTTCCAGAAGGTTCCAAAGGGGTTCTGGTGAAGAACCTCTACTTGTCCTGCGACCCTTATATGAGAAGCCGCATGACCAAGCGTGAACCTGGCGCCAGTTATGTTGATTCCTTCAACGCCGGTTCGGTCAGTCACTGTATATATTATCTTACATCTCCCTCTAATTATTTTATTATTTTTAGTGTAATTTCTTTGTTTCAACTACTACAAATTTAGTCTTCTTATCGTTACGCTTTAACTATCTGCCTCTAGAGTCTCTGCCTGCCTTTTTAATAATTTGTTTCAAATCAAAGTTGAATACTTTTATATCTCTAGGTTAGGATAATTGGTAACGCGGTGTGCCCTTCCACTTTTATTCAATTTCAAAATTAGGTGCTCTGTAATTTAGGGTTGTTCAATTGAGATTAGAGGGATTTTAATGGATTTATAAATTCATGAATTTTGACGAAGTTTAATTGATTTATAAAGATTTTATGTAAAATTTTAAGTGAATTATCTCGAATGCTCAGGGAGATCTGTGAAATTTAAGCATGTTTAAAATATAGTAGAAATCTCTCTAATTCTCTCGAATTTTGCAACTTTTTAAAATCATTTAAAATTAATTTCTAATGAAATACACCTGAATATTATAACATTTGATTGAATACACCTAGATTTCAAATAATTATTTAAAATCACGATTGAATACCTTAATTAGAATACTGTATTGTAAAATATATAAATTAAGGGGAAACTTAATATGAGTCCAATTTTATGAGCCTTTATTAGTTATAGTCCAATTTTATTTAATTTTTAGGTTAGGTCCAGTGATTCATTGTCCACATAAGCTTATTTGTATTCTCTTGCCAAATTTACCCTTAAATTGACCAATTAAGTAATTACTGTTTTTTTTAAGTTTGTGATTAATGTTAATCTTATCCTTAATTATAGGATTAGGGATTTAAATCTCCTTTTTTTTCTTCTCCTTCCCCAAATGTTCATTTCTCTTTTCTTGTTTCTCCCTCACAATATCTTTCTCTTCCTCTGTTAGTCTTCTACCATAATATTATTCTTTTGCTCCTCCTTTCATAAGGATGATCAATATACATTTGATTGGTTTTTTTTTTTTTAAAAAAAAAAAATTTGTATTAGTCAATCTTGTGTTTTGGGTTCTTCATCTCATATGTATATATTATTTTTTTTTTTGGGCTTCATTCTCCTTTATATATATATATATATTAACTTTGAAGTTCTATCGAATTAGCATTTTCTCTAGTGTTTCCTCCCTCAATATCATTTTTCTTCACGATTTTTTTTGGTTTTTATCTACCTATATCACTTGTCCTTTATTTATTTATTTTATCTTTTTATATTATACTGTGCCTGTATCATGAATAATTGTATTTATCTACCTATATATTACATATTTTGTTGATAATCTATATAAGATTAATTGTGTTTATCTACCTATATATCACAAATTAACTGTGTTATCTACCTATACAATAAGTTTTTGTTCATAGTCTATCTGTATCATAGATTATTTTGTATTATCTGTCTATACAATAGGTTTTTGTTCATAGGCTACCTCTATCATAGATTCTACCTAGATCACAAATTTTTTATCTACCTCTAGCAATGTTTCTTTTAATTTTTGATAAACTTATAAGATTTGTAATAATGTCTTTTTAATTAAAAAACAGGTAGATAAAGGTATTTGAAAATTCAAATTTAAAGAATTAAAAAAAAAAATTTCAGGGGCAAAACAGGTGTAATAGAAAATGAAATAAAATTGGACCTAATTCAAAAACAGCTGAATTTTTTGGACCTGAATCAAAGTGCCCCTAAATAAAATTGAATCCTTGAGGCATTTCTCATGTAATACTAGTAGTGTAGTACAAAAGGAACTGATGAGGAACCCAATTAGTAATCTTGTTTTGTAGATAGCCTTTTCGTTCGGATGGTGTAATCCAAATTTATCTTGTTTGTGGTTTTGGGGCTGTTTTAATAATTTATATAGTTTGAGACAACTTGTATTTCGCGGTTTTTGATGATACAATGCTATATTTATATCAGTTATATCTTATCAATACTGAGCCATAGCTTCCTTATTAATTGGCATTCTGTCCAACGAAAAAGCTTTGTTTATGCTATGTACAAATCATAAAAAGGATAGCATCTATTTGATGTTGTAGTTTTATTTGACGTGTTTGATTATTGAAATGCTGGTGTGGCAGCCTATAGTCGGATATGGAGTCGCCAAAGTTTTGGAATCCGGGGATCCCAAGTTTAAGAAAGGCGACTTGATTTGGGGAATGACCGGGTGGGAGGAATACAGTGTCATCACTGCAACAGAGTCTTTGTTTAAGATTCAGCACACTGATGTGCCTCTCTCTTACTATACTGGAATTCTTGGTATGTTGCTATATATTGGCTATTGCTATTTTCCTTGCCTTTGGATTTATTTTTTTTAATTTTGTTCTCCCACAAGCAGCTATCTCAAGGTCTCTATCTTCTATGATGGTAATTGAATATAGCGAGCTAAGGAACCTGAACTTCCCAAGGGCCTAACACGTTGGATGAAATTCGTGAATCATTTTTGTATGTCATGGATTGTATTGAATTCTTGTTGCATGTTTGAGTACCGTAGTTTCATTGGACTATTCTCATGCTAAATTCAGGAGCGAATAGATTGTGTCGTAATAATCTTTTTATTAAAAGTAGCATTTCCTCATGGAAGGATTCTGTATGGTTGTATGTCCCTAGTTGTGATCTGCCTCCACTCCAGTGACCTCTATTATACTACTTGAAGTGAACTGATTTGTTAATTCTCAAATCTCCTTGTAAACTAGATCTTTACAAACCGATGTCCCATTTTCTTTTCATAATTAGTAATTTGATTTGGAAGTACGGAAATTATTTAGCATAACGTAATTCTACTTCAATTGGTCATATGGATCTGTAGCATTGTTCTCAGATTGAATGCAATTGTTGAAGCCATCCATCCTAATTAATTCATCCAAATATTGCTTTGTAATGCATGATATATTTACTTGATGCTCAATGCTTATCAATGTATTCATTTTATGTAGGTATGCCTGGAGTGAGTGCTTATGTTGGGTTTTATGAGATCTGCAATCCTAAGAAGGGAGAGACAGTCTTCGTTTCAGCAGCATCTGGAGCAGTAGGTCAGCTTGTTGGCCAATTTGCAAAGTTGTTGGGTTGCTATGTTGTTGGAAGTGCTGGAAGCAAAGAAAAGGTGAGTTATGGTCGATTCCAACTATATCTTAGTTGGCATTTCTGTGATTGCAACTCCATTGGACGATTATCCTTGTTTTAGAAACACGAGTTAGTGATGTGTGCCAAATTTGTTACTGGAAACGTTTTGACTAATAGAAAACAGGAAAATAAGAGAGAACATGTTGGAAAGTAAAGATATTGGTGACCCTTTATCTTCATAATCA